CGAGTGGGAGAGAAGCGCAAGTCCAACGACATCTCCCAATGCCGTCGCTGCCAGAAATTTAACCACACGGCTTCCTACTGCCGCGCTACCTTTGTCTGTGGTTCCTGCAGCGCAAACCACGCCACCGCAACCTGTCCAAAAAAGGACACCACCCAAGCTTCCCCCTTCTGCGCAAACTGCAACGGTGAGCACCGCGCCTTCTATCGGGGTTGCCTCAAAATTCCTCACAAAGGAGCCCATGCCCCCAAAAAAGGCACTCCACCTCCTCCCCCTTTTGTGAAACCCAACCTCCATTCAACAGCCCCTGGCTCGTCCACCACCTGCCCGGGAATGTCTTACACGAACGCGGCATCCTCTCAACAACAGACCAGAGCACAACCCCAAACTCCTCTGCTCAACACACCCCCCACAACCGAGACCATCCTTCACTCCATAATGACTCTGCTGACACGCCTCGACCAAAGGGTGTCCGGACTAGAGGGAAACAGTACAGTAGCACGATAGATAGAGACTTTACACTACTTAACTGGAACGCGAACAGCATTACACACAAAACGACTGAACTCGTACACGTACTTCAGACCAGAAACGTTGACGTTGCATGCATAACCGAGACACACCTTGACAACACAAAGACACTTTACATACACAACTACACGGTCCACAGAAGAGACAGACGACTGTCAGTCAACATAGTTGCGACTATAGCAGGGTTGGGATTTTGTTGCCTGATGGAAAAAGAGGTATAGGTCTGTTCAGTCTGTTTACTCAATTTAAGTTTAGCGGAACAGTGAAACCTCTTTTTCATATGAACGTTTACAATGAAAGAAGCAAAAAATCCCGAATAGAAATGTGCCGTAGCTTGCCTGACTGCCTGTGCAGGTCCTGCACAGGCAATAAGATAGGCATTTTATGCATAGTGAGTTCAGGCTGTGCACAGTTCCTGAACAGGTCCGGTGCTCTTGCCTGAACTGACATCAACTGTCTGCTACTACAGTATAGTCTTAACCTTTTTTTCAATTAATCTAAAATGGAGCAAAACTATTTTTCTTGACGAAAGACGCGAAATAAATATAGAATGTAAATTATTCGTAAAAGAAAAATTTCGGAAAAAAAAACCATACAGATTTAATGGAAATAATGAAAAAAAAAGCTAAACTTACAGATAATATTAGTGTACACTCAGCTGTACAGTTTGATAAGCAAAAAATTTAGAGTGATATTCAGCAAGAAATTTTTTAAGAATTAAACACAACTAATGACAGTATAAAAAAAAAAAAAATCAACTGTCTGCTGANAAAAAAAAAAAAAAAAAAAAAAAAAAAAAAAAAAAAAAAAAAAAAAAACAAGTGTCAATATTGATGAAGTTCGTGATATGTATGTACAACTTCGGAAATGGAAAAGAAAGTGTTTTATTGCAAATAGCCACATGGATAATATTTTAAAAATGTTGCAATATTACATTCCTAGCTTACTTTTATCCCATTAAACTTTACTGAAATCAACTTCTCCGTTTAGAAACATTTTTTTATGCAACATAACCTTACTATTTAATTGTGTAAAAGTCAGTTCAGGACTAGATTATATTTGTCCAGGTTGCCTGAGCTAAGGCTGCCTGTGCAGGAGCCTGAGCAGGTCCTGTGCACATCGTTGGATAAAATTCCATTAATGCCTGAGCAGGTCCTGCGCAGGCAGCTCAGGCACCTGTCCAGGACCTGTTCAGTGCCTGAACTCAATTTCTGTTCGGGATGTCTATGTAAATAGCTCCCGGGTCCGTACCATATAACTATTTTTCTGTACATCGGCCTATGTTATAACATAGGCCTGTAAAGCAAAAAAAAGTTATATGGTACGGCCCCTGTATAATGATCGAGCAACGTACAATATTACCCGTACGACCGCCGTAAAAAGTATTTTGAGGGTTTAAAGTACAAATTTCAGCAGTTGGGTGATTTTTTATATACTCTAAATACTCGTTATTATTTTTCATAAATTCATCAAAATCATGCTCCCATATCTCAATTAGTTCATAGCCGTATTCTTTTATTTTCCCAGCTGAAAATTTGTCATAAGGTCTTACATAAATTCTTGCGTGATTTCTTATGTAATTTCTTGTGTGTCAGTTCTGATGTTAGTTCTTACGTAAGTTCTCGGCTGTGTGACATGGGCACCCGAACTGTTTCTAAAAATCTGCAAAAATAGCCAAAAAATTGCGCATAATTTCCTCGAATTTCCACTACTTGTAAAACAATTGCGCGTGACATACTTCTGTAGTAATTAATTATTATTTGCGGATCCTGGGTAAATTTTCAATCATCCATTACAATAAATCTATCACACGCAGCTTAATTACAAGAACGCCATTAATTTCCGCGTAACACGAAGAATAAAATTGACCCTTGAGTTGTTATAAACTATTAACAGTTATGTAGTGCGCAAATATTTATTTATTTGCGTATTACCATATCAACTATACTATATCTATATATATGTTGAAATACGCATGCGCGAGAAATTCGTTCCAACAAAATCGTCTGCATCTGGGATGTTATGAAAGCCTATATCTATATATCTAGTAATACATACACTCACAGGTATACACACTATAGTGTGGACTGTTAAAAGTTTTCGAGTTTGGACTTGCGTTTGGACGGTTTGGAGTGTATAGTATACAAATAAAATAAATATACGGCTGTTGTCAAATTTCAGTTTTAATTAAATAATTTGTATTTATTATTGTGCCTAGCGCCAGTGAGGGCGGCATCACTCATACTGCGAACTGCGAACTGCGAGTCCTGTGTATTTTTGCCAGTAAGTCCTCTAATCGGTAGTATTAGAAAAATATATCTTGTATAACCAATATAACCCCTTTTCAGAGGACAAAGTTTGCCCATCTACCTATTGTTCTTGAAAAGAAAGCCAGTAAGGTATCGCTTAAGGCCTCGTAGACGACGGTCCTCCAATTTTCTTGCTCTCAGAGATCCGTACAGCGAGTTCAGCTGGCCACGTTGACGAATAGAAAATGAAGAAGTTTGGTCGCTTCTTAAGTTTGGCTGCTTCGGGCTGCTTAAGCTCATGCAGGCTGATCCCACCCTGATTGGTCGCATAATGCCCCTGACTTTTGAGCTGCACATCTTCGAGGCTACTGCCAAGGATGCCATTGGCATTGTTTCTCACGACAGTGATACTGGGGCCAAGTGCTGTATCGCCAGGACTGAGAATCAAGTAATTACGTATCTGAATCTATTATCTTAAAAATAAATCTAATTCTACTTGGGTTTACAATATCTCTGCGCTCATCCATTTAATAATTTTCATAAAAAGTGAAGTATAATTTTTTTTGTGCTTTTTTTTCTTGTTAGAAATTACATTTCAATCTTCGCACATCTCCTTTAGTCACATCTAAGACCCATTAGTCTTATAAATGGTTTGATCGATGTCCGTACTGTGAAAAATTAAAAAACAAAATAAAAAATATACATACTATAGCTCGCACAATTTGTACTACTTTTTTATTAGAAGAGATAAATCGCTTATTGCGAATTTATCTCTACAAATTTTCCAACACTATACACAAAAAAAATTATACTTCACTTTTTATGAAAATTATCAAATGGATGAGCGCAGAGATATTGTAAACCCAAGTAGAATTAGATTTATTTTTAAGATAATAGATTCAGATACGTAATTACTTGATTCTCAGTCCTGGCGATACAGCACTTGGCCCCAGTATCACTGTCGTGAGATACAATGCCAATGGCATCCTTGGCAGTAGCCTCGAAGATGCGTGCAGCTCAAAAGTCAGGGGCATTATGCGACCGATCAGGGTGGGATCAGCCTGCATGAGCTTAAGCAGCCCGAAGCAGCCAAACTTAAGAAGCGGCCAAACTTCTTCATTTTCTATTCGTCAACGTGGCCAGCTGAACTCGCTGTACGGATCTCTGAGAGCAAGAAAATCAGAGGACCGTAGTCTACGAGGCCTTAAGCGATACCTTACTGGCTTTCTTTTCAAGAACAATAGGTAGATGGGCAAACTTTGTCCTCTGAAAAGGGGTTATATTGGTTATACAAGATATATTTTTCTAATACTACCGATTAGAGGACTTACTGGCAAAAATACACAGGACTCGCAGTTCGCAGTTCGCAGTATGAGTGATGCCGCCCTCACTGGCGCTAGGCACAATAATAAATACAAATTATTTAATTAAAACTGAAATTTGACAACAGCCGTATATTTATTTTATTTGTATACTATACACTTCAAACCGTCCAAACGAAAGTCCAAACTCGAAAACTTTTAACAGTCCACACTATAGTGTGTATACCTGTGAGTGTATGTATTACTAGATATATAGATATAGGCTTTCATAACATCCCAGATGCAGACGATTTTGTTGGAACGAATTTCTCGCGCATGCGTATTTCAACATATATATAGATATAGTATAGTTGATATGGTAATACGCAAATAAATAAATATTTGCGCACTACATAACTGTTAATAGTTTATAACAACTCAAGGGTCAATTTTATTCTTCGTGTTACGCGGAAATTAATGGCGTTCTTGTAATTAAGCTGCGTGTGATAGATTTATTGTAATGGATGATTGAAAATTTACCCAGCACCCGCAAATAATAATTAATTACTACAGAAGTATGTCACGCGCAATTGTTTTACAAGTAGTGGAAATTCGAGGAAATTATGCGCAATTTTTTGGCTATTTTTGCAGATTTTTAGAAACAGTTCGGGTGCCCATGTCACACAGCCTAAGTTCTCATATAAGTTCTTTTAACAGAACTTGTGTCAGAACTTGTAGTTTGTACACGATCTTACATTTGCTTATCAACCGAGAACTTACATAAGATCTTATATATACTACTTTTTCGACACTGATCCATCTGGTGGAAAACTTGGTACTTCTGCAAACTTGTAAATTGGCTTACTTGGCAGATATCTTACATTATCTTACACCGTGACTTATATACCTACGGAATGGTAGCAGAATATACTTAAGTGTCACTGGCTTAATTCGTCTATCTGTGTCGAAAACATTGTTGTTATTTATTGTTGTAAGTGGTATGTTGTAGAAATTTAGGCTCCGAAATATGTATTAACATTAAAGGGTTCTGTTAAGTCATTTGATATCAACATAAAGTTGAGTGTTCCAGATAGCAACACATTTAATAAAGTAAATTTTTTTGCCCACCGAACCAAAAATATCCAATACATTTCAATTGTCTGTCATATAACCTAGTTGGTAGTTATGTGAAATTATATTGAAAAATATTGCAGTTACACAACTGGTGTATCGATTTCATACTTTATTCCCAACTAGTGCTGGAAACAGAATGTTTTAATCCCTCTTTAGGCATAAGCCGTTTCTTTTATACTTGTGTAAGAATTAATAAACTACTCTTAGATTGCTAAAAAATGGACTTGCATTGTAAAAAAAAGTTGAGAGTTATGATTGATATATTTTACCAACAGTTTTTGTAGTGTTATTACGAAAGCAATTCTATATAGTTGAACCAGACAAAACACACAAAAATTTCAATAGTTGATGTTTGAAAGATTAGTCTTTGTTCTAAATAGCTATATTTAAAAATGATAAGTATAATTATAGTAGCTTTAGTGTAAAAATTTTGAATTATTGAAATTTATGTTAACAATAAGCTGTAAAATAGCTTGCAGTACATAATGTCTACTATACCCCAAATATCTAGTGGACTCAGTAAGCTCAAGAAAAAGCATTTTCGAGTAAAACACCAAAAAGTAAAGGTGTTCCGAGCTAACGAACCTCTTCTTAGTATATTTATGTGGGGCATCAATCACACAGTAAGTTTTGTGACGTCATTCATTATAAGTATAAACATTTAAATTACTTGTAAACCTATAGTGATTCCTAATTTCCTTGTGGTTTGTGTTCACTGTTAGAGTAAAATTTGTATTGCACTCTTTTAATTTATAATAAACCAATTGAATTTTCCATATGCACTAATAAGGCAATGTAGGCAAAGTTTGGCTGATAATTTTTGTTGTATGTAAAAAGTAATACATACAAAAATACCATATTCCTATTTTGAGTGCTTTCTTCAACTTTTAATCGTTTACTGCGCCTGTGGTTGAAAAAATAGAGTTCACACTTAGTGCGGATTAAACCAGGGCAAACACAAGGAGTCTCTCAGGCCCTGCCCACCTAAATTAAAGACAGAATTCTATATGAATTCTATATGTAGTTACTTCTGTTATAACTGTAAGAAAGCCATTTGACATTATATAAAGGGTGTTATGTCTAGCTCTCCATATAAGGTTTTGGATTGGTGATGCTACATGTGATTCTGTGCCGAAAAACACATTGAATTACGAATTAAAAACAATCTACATTGTCATTCAAAAACAACTGCAGTATAGAGTAATATGTTTCTTAGTTTCCATGATTACGTACGTATATTAAGGTGGTTCTTTCATGACTACCGAGTAAAAGGTGCAACTATCACAATGATATTTATTAATACTACTTAAATTTCAATTCGTTGTTAATTTGTTGCTGAAAGATAGCCCGCTTGCTGATTTTCTCGCGAGCTCAGCGTCTAGCTCTTCAGCGATAAACGACATCGAGGCATAGAGATATTACCAATACTTGTTGCTATTTGTCGCTGAAAGAAAGCCGCATAGCTGATTTTGTCGCGAGCCGTATCTAGCTGTCCAGATGAAGGTGAAATTGGCAGACAATTTCTGGCAGAGTAACCGTAAAATCAAAAATTCTACTTTAAGTATCCTTAAAATAAGATAAGGTACCCTTTTAATTTACTAATCTGCAGTCTGCTGGTTTCAGCTATATGCTGTCCATCTGTACAGTAATGAACGTCTTCGAGGACGGCAAGCTTGCACTATACTCTCAGACAATTTATGGCTGTAATTATCCCTGAAAATTATAGCTATAATTATAATTACTAATCAACCGGGTATAATTACCTGCAAAATATATCTACAGATATGGTCATTAATTACAGCTATTCGCTATGCGCCTCTGTCAGGAGGCGCCGTCGAGTGAGAGAAATTGGCCCTCGCTAAGATCGCCAGAATAACGGAGCCTTCATACGAAAGTTTTCTAATAAATTAAAAAAAAAGGTTACTACGAGTGGATTGACCAAATGAATCCGTGATTTGATCGTGCATAATGTTAGTGTACAGTACCAAATTTTTTTTGGTGTTGTCATGTGTACTACAAGATTGGAAAAAATAAAAACATAGATTGCGACTATGATAACACAGCATGTAATATATATAAGTGCATTATACATGCTCACACCTATGTATATATATTACATGCTGTGTTATCATAGTCGCAATCTATGTTTTTTTTTTTCCAATCTTGTAGTACACATGACAACACCAAAAAAAATTTGTTACTCTACACTAACATTATACACGATCAAATCACGGATTCATTTGGTCAATCCACTCTTAGTAATCTTTTTTTTAATTTATTAAGAAATGTCCCTATAAGGCTCCGTGTATTCTGGCTATGTTAGCGAGGGCCAATTCCTCTCACTCGACGGCGCCACCTGACATAGGTGCATAGCGAATAAATTTTGCTCAAATTTGAAAAAAAAAATCATAAATAATTTGGAGTTTTTTCAAAATATTTTAAAAATACTTAAAGCCCACAGTTTCAATGTTATTATATGATGTCAAATCTGTTTCGTATACCTGTAAATAAATCAGATTTAAAACTGACTCATTTAAAAATTGAGCAAAATTCACAATTGTGATTTAGTTATATTTTACAGGTAGTGGGCTTGTTTCTGCCATCAGATGGCGGTAGTTTATCTAGGTAAGATTTCTGGAGAACTTCATATACTAAATGTATATATAGTTAGTAAAATCTAAAGATGGAACACTACCGCTATATGACGGCAGAAATAAGCCCATTATAGTTGTTTTATAGGTTATGGCTCTAATTATTCATGGTGTTAAGCGACAAGTACCGCCGCCCTGATGGTTGAAAGCTGAGCCAATTCTACTACTAAATATATAGTTCAAACCGTAAACGCGCGAAGGAAGTCAAAAAATGAATTAAACATTTCATAAGTTTATTAAATTTATTTAATTATGTAGGTGAAGGATCCCGTAATTACGTTGAAGGACAAAATGTAGCAAATGCAAAACATCTTTTATTGCGCCCTAAAATTAAAAACGTCGTACTAAAAATGTGGTCTGTTTATGTTTCAAATCGAATAACTGGTTTGGAAAACCATATGAGCTGGAATTTTAAATGAGCCTTATAAGCTATGAGAGAGAATTTAATAATTGTATTATTGTAGCTGTTCTTACTCAACTGGTTCTGGAGAAAGCTGTAAGCATATTGTTGGTGTCTTAGTACACTTTTGAGATGTATAGGTTATAAAATGTGAACAATATCTGACCATGAAGGACATTAATTTTAGCATAAAAAATATACACTATAATAAAATTACTTCAAAAATGGTTGTCTTTCCTGAAATATTTCCTCTGCCAATCACAGCCAGACACACTGTAAGCAAAGCGTTCGGGCTTATGCCTATTCATTTTAAGGTGAAAAAAATTGGTGCTTTTGTTCACTACTGTTCGCCGCCAATACCGTTTGAACTACATACGTAGTAGTAGAATTGTTTTAACTTCCGACGATCAGGGTGGCGCTACTTGTCGCTTAACACCGCGAACATATAGGTGTACTTACAGCTCTAAATTTTTGACTGAGCTCTGACTTTTTTTTTAGTAAAAAAGGGCGTAGAAAAAGCTCACAGACGCCAAAAATAAATGATAAAATAGGACTTACGTGAATAATGTAGGTTAAAAAAAATTGGAAAATACATTTTTTTTAGAAAGAATGCTAGATTTTTATTTTTAGCTTACAAAAAACGAATTGCGAACGTTTTTGAAACAGTTACGATTAATATTATACAAAAACTCCTTCGATTTATTGGCACAAAGGATACTCATAAATTTTTTTAAAAATTTTAGTTCATGCTACGTCAATTTTCAGTCAATGTAACCTTCATTAACTTATTTCGTTTATATATTAACGTCATTAAGATAAAGTAACATACAACTTATTAAGACTGTTAATACTCTCTATCATTAATAATTATTATAAGAATTATAAACGGTATAGTTTTGTTTGAATTTTTAAAACATATTTGCT